AAAGTATAAGTGGTCAAATTACAATATTCTTGGTTTAAGTATGAGGTCAAACCCACAGGAAGCTAACTATCGGGATTCAAAAATCAAAAATGGTAAAATTGTTGTGGATACAAAGTGCAATGGAATAGCTTGTGGTGTGAGCTTAGAATGATCAAATAAATACTTAATTGAAATACAATGGTAAAAAATACTCTTCACCTCGGGGATCCAACATGCATTATATTGTTTAGTTATGAAAATACCACCTTACAACAATTAACTCTCATTTTACTTGAAAGTTAGTTGGTAGGTTTGATGTATATTGAACCATAACACATAAACTGATTAGGCTAGACAGAAGGTCTTTGTACACTATCAAAAGGAATCAAACGTTCAAAAGAGGGCATTTTTTACTAAACATGCTAGTGCCATTATTTAACACAAGACCCCTCCTAAATTCAAAGATATAGGGTTTTTTACTATCTCTTGTGTCATAGGAAACTTCAAGATTGGGCAATCTTCGCTTAATCTTGGAGCAAGTGTTAATCTACTCCCCTACACTATCTACCACAACTAGGGTTAGACGAGCTCAAGCTTACAAGCATCACTTTGTAGTTGGTAGACCGTTCTGCAAAGTCCATGGGGGGATAGTTGAGGATGTGCGTGTCTAGGTGGACAAATTCTATTTTCCTATAGAATTCATTGTGCTAGACACCCAACTAGTTGCACACTCGGGGAGTCAAATTCTTATTATTCTTTGTAGTCCCTTCCTTGCTACTTCAAATGCATTGATCAATTGCAGGAACGGGGTTATCAAATTTTCATTTGGGGATATGACTCTTGAACTAAACATCTTTAATATAGTTAAACAATCGGATAAGGAGGAGGAAGTGAGAGAGGTGCACTCTATAGAGTCATTGGCACAGGATCATATCAATATGGCATTATTAGAGGCTTCATTAGAGACATGCTTGGTTAAGTCCATATCATCACAATTTGAGTCCATTTTAGAGGAGGATTGTATGAGTATATCTAGGGAGCTAGAGACTTTACCTATTCATGCTGTCGGGTCGTGGTTGCCCAAGTTTGAAGAGTTAGCTCTAAGTGGCGAGAAGCCAGTTTCTTCTAATGAAAAATCACAAAAACCTGAATTAGAACAGCTCCCATCTAACTTAAAGTATACATTCCTTGGGGAGAGTGAGTCATATCCAGTGGTTATCTCCTTTACACTTACACTGGACCAGGAGTCCAAACTGTTAGAGCCCTTAAAGCATCATCATAGTGCTATAGGGTGGAACATTGCTAATTTGAAAGGTATTAATCCTTTTGTTTGCAATCATGTTATATACCTTGAGGAGGATTCAAAACTTTCCCATCAAATGTAGTGGCAGTTGAACCATGATATCAAAGAGGTTGTAAAAGTTGAGGTTCTTAAATTGTTGGATGCATGAATCATCTTCCCCATCTCGGATAGTAAATGGGTCAGCCCAACCTAGGTTGTGCCAAAAAAATTGAAAGTTATGGTAGTCAAGAACGAGGAAAATGAGTTGGCGCCTACCTGAATTGTCAAGAGATGGCAAATGTGTATTGACTATCGTAAACTTAACCTTGTCACTAGGAAAGACCACTTCCCTCTCCTATTCATTGATGAAGTCCTAAAAAGGATAGTGGGTCATGCATTCTATTGCTTTCTAGATGGGTATTCTACGTACAACTAAATCAAGATAGCACTAGATGATTGGGAGAAAATAACATTCACCTATCCCTTTGACACTTTTGCATATAGAAAGATGTCATTTGGTTTATGTAATGCTTCTACTACATTCTAAAGAAACATGCTGAGTCTTTTCAATGACATAGTAGAGAGATGTTTGAAGGTATTCATGGATCACTTTTTCGTTTATGGTGATTCATTTGATTTAAGTTTGAAATTTTTGAAAAAAGTACTCATTCGATGTAAAGAAACTAATCTAGTTTTAAATTAGAAAAAGTGTCACTTCATGGTGACACAAGGCATAGTGTTTGGTCACATGGTTTCATACGAAGGAATTAGGGTAGATAAGACAAAAATTGACCTAATTGGAAATTTTCCAGCTCCTAAAATGATAAAAGATGTAAAATCATTTTTGGGGCATGCATGATTTTCTAGGAGATTTATAATGAATTTTAGTGCTATATGTAGACACATATGTCATCTCTTAAGTTAGGATGTTTCTTTTGTAAGGGATGAAGCGTGCCAAAAAGCTTTTGAGAAACGTAAATGTATGCTAATTTTTGACCCCATTATGCAGCCACCTGACTGGTCCTTGCTCTTTGAGTTGATGTCTGATGCCAGTGACTATGCCGTAGGAGCAGTGTTGGGGAAAATAAAAGATAAAAAACCATGTATCCTATATATACAAGTAAAACTCTTAATGATGCTCAAATGAATTATTCAACAACTAAAAAAAGTTACTTGCTGTAGTTTTTTCTTTGGATAAATTTAGATCATATTTGGTACGCTCTCCAATTGTTGTTTTCACTAATCATGCAGCCCAAAAATATCTACTGATCAAGAAGGATGCAAAGCCAAGATTGTTGCGATAGATATTCCTACTACAGGAATTTGATCTGATCATTAAAATCTAAAATGAAATGAAAAATGTGGTGGCTGACCATCTTTCATGGTTGACTTATGATTTCTTAAGGATGAGATGCCTATTATTGAAAGCTTCCTAGATGAGTAGGTTCTAGCAGTTTCAGAAGTATCATGGTATGCAAACATTGTCAATTATCTAACCACAGGTACGTTTCCTTCTTCTTTCAATTTTGTGGATAGTAGAAAATTCTTAGTTGAGGTATGCAATTTCTTTTGGGATGACTCTTATCTGTTTCAGTATTGCAAATACCAAATCATTAGGAGATGTGTACCCCATCACGAGACCCATAGTGTAATTAAGTTTTGTCATACTTAAGCTTGTGGGGACCACTTTTCTTCAAAGAAAACTACTGCAAAGATCTTGCAATGTGAATTTTATTGGCCAACACTGTTTCAAGATACCCATACTTTTTGTTTATCATGTGATCGTTGCTAGCAGTTGGGGTATCTCACGAAGGAATATTGATGCCATTAAATACTACTTTAGTGATTGATATTTTTTATTGTTGGGGCATTGACTTCATGAGACATTTTCCTTAATCATTTGGTTACCTGTACATCTTAGTTGACATAGACTGTGTCTTTAAGTGGTTCAAGGCTATCCCTTGTCGCAATAATGATTACCACATAGTAATCAAGTTTTTAAAAGAACACATTCTATCACGATTTTGCATATATCGAGCTATGTGAACTGTGTTAGTGTGGGGTTGAACAAATGTATCTTAGTGCTCAAGAGAACAATACAACTTGAGACTTGGTAGCTTGGGTGAGTGCAAATGAGATTCATTCCTCTATTTATAGGCTCTTAGCCTTACAATGAAGTACTAAGATATATCCAAGTGTGCTACATCTAGGTTATCTAGGTTATCTCTTTCATACAAATATTTATAGGGTTCTTTGGAAGCCGGTACACCTAATTAGACTTATTTGATAAAAAGTACATAGAACAAAATGTGAGTTACAAAGACATAACTGTCTATTTTAGGGTCATTTAATTCAAAATATTTTATCTTTAATGCACCTTGATTCATGTGTGTTTGTTAATACATATAAATACGTATTTAATACATCTTGATTCATTAGTATTTGTTAATACATGTAAATGTGTATCTATATACATATATACATATACGTATAACAAGTATATATATACATATACGTAAACAAGTATATATACGTATGAATAAGTATATATATATACTTATTAAATATTTTATCTAAATTTTGAATTATCTTTAATGCACCTTAATTCATGCGTATTTTTTTTTTTGGAAAATGATTTTGTTTTCAAATTATATTTAATGCACCTTGATTCAAGCGTTTTTTTTTTTAAAAATAGTTTTATTTTCAAATTAATTTAATATCCGAGTAATGTAATAGTGTACCAATAACAGTGTAACAAATACACTGTAACAAAGACAGTGTAACAAAAACAGTGTTCAATAGTTTTGTATATGTGGTAACAAATTTAAAACAGAGATGAACTATTTTGAATGAAATTATATGTTTGACAAAATATAATAGTACAATATTTTATATAAATAGTTTGTTACACTGTTATAGTTATATTGTTATACTGTTACACTTTTATTGTTATATTGTTATTGTTATAGTGTTATACTTTTATTATTACACTGTTATTATTACACTATTCGGATATTAAATTAATTTAAAAATAAAACTACTTTCTAAAAAAAAAATGCATGAATCAAGATGCATTAAAAGATAATTCAAAATTTAGATAAGAGATTTAACAACAAGTATATACATACATACATACATAAGTGTATATATACGCATGAATCAATGTGCATTAAAATATAATTTATATACATATACGTTTTTATATACAAATTTTGAAATTCAAAAAAAAAAATTTATATATATATATATATATATATATATATATATATATATATATATATATATATATATATATATATATATATATATATATATATATTAAAGTTCTCCCATAAAACTAGAAGATATTTAATGCACCATTTTTCAAAGAAAAGTGGTGCATTAAATATACATGGATTAATGAAGGGCAAAAATGTCACAAAAAATCAGTAAAATTCAAACAATGTACTTAGATACAAATAAGTATCAAAATTAAAGACTTAATTACCCAACATTTTTTTCTATATACTTTTTTACAATTAAGTCTAATTTGGTGTCCCCCTTCTAATTTTCTCATATTTATAAGTACAAGATACTCAAGGATACACAAGATCTCTAAAATGTTCCTTTAGGATACCTAGACTTCTCTAAAACTCCTACTCTAGAACTCTCTAGATCCTTCTAGAAAGCGGGCCGTGACACACTACTGTTATTGTGTGTATCAGCTTGCCGGTGTTGCCAGTGTCTCGGTGATTTCTTTTTATGTAGAAAACTCAGCCAAGGGCCATGAGCACTGGGTATGGTGGAACTCAATTTGTAGTCGGTGATGAAGGGGTGCTGATGCCATCAACCCTTTCCTTAGATCAACCTGCAATTCCCTTACCGGAATTGCAGCTAAAAAGCTCTTGATGTATTCCTTGCATGACTCTTTGCCTCTATACACAACTGTATCTTCTCCCTCGCTATTTCTCGAATTCTCAGTGTTGATAATCATAGTTCTTTCACTTGCAGTCATCTCCTTTGGATCACTTGTTTGCATCCTATCACCAACAGCCATTTCATCTGATGATTGAATTTTGTCATGTAGACGCTTGATTATTGTATCTTTGTCAAATTTCAAGATATAAGCCTGGTTGCAACCCTCGTAAAGTCTCTCACCTAATGTATCGATGATGTAGTATGCATCTCTTTCAATTTTCAGGACAAAAAAGTGGTCATTCCAGCTTACAATGTAGACTAAAGGATCACCATTGCAAGGGCTTTCGGACCCAACTTGACTGATCTCATCCCAGATGCTATCAAAGGACATGGCTCCGTGGAGGAAGTCAAAAGCCCCATCTTCCAGCCCTTCCGGATGGAAAAACCCAACAAAAGATTTCTCTGGAACAACAGAGAGAGGACGGATTTTAGCCTGAAGGATGGTATCAAGGTCAAAGTGTTTGTCTGGAAACTGCTCCCTATAGGCATCGATTTGGCAGAGGTTCCTCCACTCTAATGAACCTTCTCGTATCAGACTATCAAGTTGGGATTTGATGGGATGTTCATCACGGTTGGACTGGAACCAGTCAGCAATGACAGCAACCAGTGTTGTACATGCACTCTCACCTGACGCTCGTTCACTCCTTTGATCAATAGAAGCAAAGAAGACTTGGGCTTGGAGCTTCATGTGCCCGTCACGGCTTATTACCTCCTTTTGCTTCCAGCTACCCACAGCAAAGCTGTCATCCCCAAACTCAGAGATTGATGATCTGTTTGCATTTGAATCTTCTTCAGTTTTACACTGCTACCAGATTGAAAAGGCATCTTTCAGAACTCTATATTAAATTATTTCATCAAAAGAAAAACACAAAATATAAAAGAAATATGAGATGAAGAGGATTTGGAGAAAGTAAAAACCACTGCCGTGATAACTTAAGATACGCAATAAACTAACTCAATGTTCTTCATTGAAGTTGCTAGCACACGTACTTGGACCTACTTTTTGTCACCGTTCGATTGTTGTTCGCTAATCCAATGCCAATGACATTGTGCAAGCAACCAGCTCACTCGATGAATGATATTGTGATTAAAAAAATCTAACGTATATTAAACTAACCTATGAGAGAGCATGAAAAGACGGATGCGTACCTCAAAAGTGCATTCATCAGATGATCTAAGATGTCTACGATCAAAATCAATATCATCCCCACCTTCTTCTCTAGAATCTTTTTTCAATAGTGGCTCTCCTTTGACTTTAGGAGATCTGAAGCTCAACCTCCTCTTTCTCCATGGGAGGATGCTGTGCTTCGAGCTCTGCCGCGTGGACTGATCATGCATTGATGCGCTTGAATACTTAACATGCACCCCTGCATCTGATTTGCAATTGCAATAATAGATCCAATCCTCGTCTTCACTACTGCTCGTATTCGAGCAATATGATCCTCCAACATGGTTTGCATAGGCCAATGTTCCATAACTGAATGACATTCCAACACCAGAATTGTCTTTTCCTTTCTCTGATTCCCCTTCAACCAGATCATCAAGTGAGTCGGTGTCAAATGGGTAGTTGGACTCGACATCGTCATTTCTGACTGAGCTTCTTCCATCACTGCCCTCTTCTTCACAACATGCCTTCTTCACTCCTCCAGATGATAATCCTTCGAAGATTTTTGCTTTCTTCTGACCTTCTTTAAGAGTGAATGGTTCGCCTTTCTCTCTAGTTAAAACTTCTCCAGTAGAGGATGATAGTGGAAGACACACAAATGAGCTCTTCACTCTTTCTGAAGGTTCCTGGGCAACTCTTAGTTCCGAGAAGCTGAGAAATAACTGCATTATAAATGGACTCGGTCTGAATAAGAGAAATTTAAGAAAACACCAGAGAAAAAGAAGGGGACAACAAAAATACAAGGCAAATTGGAAATTGTCTAGAAGGTGCTTACACAAAGTGAAAGGCTACACCCGATGCTGCCATTAGAGATTGCAAGAGGAATGCTGATTTCAATCTCTTTTTCCTCGGCTGCAGAAGCAATTTCCGCGAGGTTCAATGACGCAGTTGCAACAACATGGACCTTTTCCTTTTCTGCTTGATTCAAGCCCTGAATCATAACAAAATAAATGTTTCATACCAAGCAGTTCAATTAAGTATATGTAATCATGAATCTCAGATGGGAAATCAAAAAGGGGATAAACTTGAGTAATGGAATAGGCATGCAACACAAAATAGTACAGTTGAGGAAAATCACAAAAGCTACATTTAAGGTAACACAAGTTTATAATCACTGAATAGGGCACGAAACCAAAGAAAGGGTAAAAATCTTCTATTGCAATGAAGGAAACCTTGAATCCTCTCTCAACTGCAAATGTTGCATGGAATAATCAAGCAGGTAGTGAAAGCAGCTTTGCTTCCCCAAATTCAAAAGTATATGCTAATAATTCTGATGCTAGTCCTTTCTCCAAGTCAAGGAAAGTATCCACTAAAAAGCAGGTATATGTCACAACAATTTTGATCAACAAAATTGTCCAGATAATGGTGCAATACCTCACATAATATACCAGTAATTTCCTTCATTTATAAACAAACAGCTGAAGGAGAAAAAGGTATTAAGCCTGTTATCAGTCTACAAGTCACAGACACAAGCCTCAAAATTGGCGGGTCCATCAAAGGAGAACAGAATATTCCAAGAACCCTATGACATATAATTCCGATCATCACATACTCATATGTGAATAACATTAAGATCGCAATCAATTCTAGTGTGAAAGTTTGACGTGATGCAACCTCACTAAATTGATAAAAATGACCTTAAGAAAGAAAGCTAAATAACAGGGAGAACAAAACAAGCACAAATATTTATCTACTTTTCTCTATTAAATTTAAACATAACTAACTGAAAATTTCTTCAGGCTCCATCCTTAAGATTTACAACAATATAAATGACAACGGTTAACCCAGTGGACTCAATTAGATCACAAAAAACAAACTCATGTACCAATAAAACACAAAATTTATACGTCAGATGAGGGGCAGACTGCAGACCACAGAACATAAAACCGGCAGATTCCTGGACAATGATCATGATAAGCACTAGAACACCTTCCAAAATTCCCCAACAAATCTCCAAACCCACCTGAAGGTTAATCCACATCAGATGAAGGGAAATCCTAATATCGATTCCTTATCTGAAAGTCGATCCCTTTACCCCTAGTTTGATTGCTTAGATAACTCGGGAAATTTACAAAATCTTATAATCTCAATTTTCAATGTATAAACTTCAAAATATTATAATCCACCTCAAATCAAGCTGACCATTGAAAAGAATTGTTCTATGACTGACTATTTTCTGTACTTTCCCAACAACTAAGCAGAAAGAGACAAAAGTAAAACTAGTCCAAAGTTAATTAAAAGCAACTAAAATAATCTATCAACCACAAAATCAAGCAATTACCTCAACAAACAACAAATCAAAACCGAACCACTTTAAACACATTAATTGGATATTCCTACAGGTGAGACACACAAAAAAAAATTACCCACCAATCCAAGAACAAACAAAGTTCATTAAATAATAAAAATTAAAGAACAAAAAAAAAAAAACCAGTTCAGAACTCACATTGAACACACTAAATGAAACCTCCCAAGGATGGAATACCCCTTCTTTATACACCAAAAACCTGCAAACATTCTGAAAGTCCTCATTCCATTCAACAACTCCATTATCCTTCAAAGCCTCTTCTTTTGTGAGATTTCTTTTCACACTTCTTCTCAAAGAGCTGAAAGCATTGCCCTTTGAGCCTCTCCACTTTACCTCAACAGAAAATCTTGCAAAATCTTCAAGAGTGATTTGTTCATCATTCACCTGTTGAGATATGCGTAGCTCTTTGAGGTGGCGAATAATGATCTTGGTCTCGAATTTCTTGGCTGAGAGTGGAGGCCATGGTCTCCACTTCATCATCTTCACAACCATTTTGTTGATGGGTTCTACACTTCAATCCGAAACAAGAAGTTGAAAAATAAAGGCTCAGTTTATGTATGAGTGATAATCAGATAACAAAGAATATTGAAAATCAGAGTGTTTTGAATTTAGGAGGAAAGATAAGTGATTATCAGATAAGAAACAAATTTGAAAATCAGTTTAAGGTTGAAGGGAAGAGTTAGAGTTGGGTGGGGGTTCTAGGTATATATAGGCCGAATTTGCCGTTGTTTGTGGTGTTTCAGATTAGAAATGCTGAGAGAGAGACAGAGAGAGGCCGGCAGTGAATTCGTCCTTAAGAACTAACGTCTCTTTTTACATTTTGGATTGAAAAGTGTATTCGCACAACTGTCCCTAAATTGTTTCTTACTTTGTAAAAAGTGCCCTTATATTTTCTTTAAATTGGGATTCAAACCTACAAAAGATAAACGTGTGTGGCATGTATCTTTCTTACCATTACTTTTTTTTCTTTTTTTCTTTTTTATCCCATTTCTTACCATCACTTATGGGCATGTTTTTGGTTAGTTAGCCTTTTTTTTTTTTTTTTAAATTTTGGGTTTTATTTGAATTATGTTGCATTTTTCTTTTAGAACAATGAGTCTGAGATGAGTGAGTCTCAGTGAAAAAGTTAATAGAACTCACTCTCTAAATGATGATATGTATTTAATTTTAATTTTTTAGGTTTCATTTAAATTCAATTTTTTTACTGGATTCACTCAACCCAAACTCATCCAACATACGATATATATTTTAATTTTAATTTTTAAATTATATAGTATATTCCTTTATGAGCAATGCTATAAATAAACCCAAATGGGTGTGTCGGAGCTCGGAATGCTAATCAAAATAAATAAAAATTGAATTTTAGACAACCCAAATGAATTGAATAATTTAACGTTGTTTATTTAGGTAAGTTAGTATTTTGATCTTAGGTGTGTCCGAGCTAGGAATGTCTTTTTAGCATGACAGATATATTCAAACAGGAATATCCTTTAAGATTTTATTGCGACTCATTTATTGGTACTATGCATTACTTTGAATAAGTCAAAGCAGCTGTTCTCACACTACTAATTACTAAACCAAATATGGAAAGAGAAGCCAAAAGAGAAGCATAGACAGACGGGTAAGGCGGGTGTGCAGCTACTCTGCTGCTACAAAATAACAGCATAATGTACTGAGCTGTTAAACAAAACGGCCAAGTTTTTTTAAGTTTAACACACTAAAAATATTTCTCCAAAAGTCCAAACCAAGAGAGTTAGGTCAAAATTCAATAGAAAGGAAGGTAGTTTAGCAGTAGAGATTGAAGCGAAGAAAAGAAGGTGTGCCCTGTCTTAATTTTGGCTAAATAGTTTTATTAGAATTCACAAAATGTTGTCATTTTGTTTAACAACACATTGTGCTGATGTTTTGTAACAGTAGAGGAGCTGTTACTTTGTAACAGCACATTATTTGTCTATGCTTTGCCTAGACAAATAGAATCAAGGAAATGAGAGGCAGATGCAACAAATGGAATGAATGGATTGCCCTTCATACAAATTGTTGTTGCGCTTTCTTTTGGTTTACTATTAACCCTCTAGCCAAAAACTCAAAACTACAACACTATTTATTAGTTTTGAAGTTTTCGACCTTCACTTCAAACTTCGAAGGTGAATAAACAAAAAAGAATGCGAGGGCAGACGCTTTCACTGAGGAACTATGAAAACCGTCATTTCCATTTGTTAGGATAACAAAACTTTTAGCCTTGCTACACAATATTCTTTTTTTCTTCTACCAAAATTAGACACACATACACGTACTGTTTCTAATTTTTCTCTTTTTGAATAAAACAGTTTAATATGTTTTATCGTTTACTTCTCTTTTATAGTTTCAATATATTGAGGTATGTGAGCAAGGACAATTTACAGCTCATTGGGATTTCCTTTGGCGCACTGCAACATCCTTGAAAATCATTTTATCCGATGGGATTAAAGTCAACAAATCTAGTGCACGTGAGAAAATTTCGTGCCTAAAGAGGGTGCAATTCTTGTTGGACCTAAATATGATTTTGGTCTACTTTAAGCTAAATTTTAAGTGGAACCCCGCTTATCATTTGGAGCCTTTTTACTTTAAGCTACAATATGATTTTGGTCTGCATTACATTCTTTAATCCCGTTTATTACACTATTCATCAGATATGGTACAAAACACAATTTCTTGTTCATGGACACATGGATTCCAGTATTTCTTTTGTGTAATTTTTAATTATTGTATCTTAGAAATAGAGGCTCAAGATTTTCAAAAACATTAGTGATGATGCACAAAATAATATTGTACAAGATCAACAGTCGAATGTGTGATAAAGTGTAATTAATAAACAATAAATAAAGTAATCAATGACAGTAATGTAAATATTGAGTCTACACACAGATATATAGTGGTTTTGTCCAAGTGACCTACTCCACTTTGGGAAGCGGCAACAGTGGCCGGAGAGCCTTTTATTGATTAAGTAAGATGAATGAGAGAGAGAGAGAGCAATGGTTAGTCCCCGGAGGAATACAATAACTAGGAGAGAAAAAAGTTATGTAGAGGTAGAATTTAATATGTACTCTCATGTAGAGAGGACTTACAAATTTATAGGTATTGAGCCTTAGTTGAGGCAGTGACATGAGGGTAAAGACATTAACTTTTTGGGGAGAATAGCTACAAAAAATAAGTACAATTAAAGATTGTTTTGATTTTCGAGAGTTGATATCCCGATTATTGCTCTTCACGTGTTATAATCTTCTTGAACTCCTTGGACCTTGGACTAGGCCAAATTCACGAACTAGGCTTGACTGTCCTTGTAACTAACTTGGGTTCATCTCCTTAATTAGACCTGAATACAGTTGAATCTAAGCTCATCAACTGATGTTGAACGAAATCTGTATTAAGTATATAATATCAAAAACTAACTTTGATATGTTGTTGTTCTATACTTGGGTCTATTCGTTAATTACAATTTGTTGCATTATTTGATTAATATCAGATAATTTATTAATTTTGTATTTAATAGCTCTATTTATCCTAAATTAATACAAAGGAATGTTACCCTAAAATATCCCACAAAAAGTAAGCCAAACGTGCGGATTATCTTCTTGGGAAACGCAGGTATTAAAACTAGTTGTGCTGGTTGGTTGGCAGAGGAAGCAGCACATCTGATAAGTGATAACCTCTTAATGTTCCAACCCATATCATCTGTAATGCCATGTTTTTGGTGCAGGATAAAGATAGAGCAGCGCGTTAAATGTCTGGAATAGTAAACATGATCCGTCAATTCAACACTAAATCGACATAGAATTAATCGGCTTAAATTTAATTTTAACTTTTAACGGATTCAAATGATAAACAAGTGAACCTGTTATTAAATTATTAATTAAATAATTTGACACGAACTTGATTAAACATGCACAAACATCATTCACATGACTTATACACGATACGAGTCAAATACATTGCAAACTCAACTGTAAATAAGCCGGATATAGATTGTGATTATCAATTTTTTCTTTTTTGTATTTTGGCTATTTGGTGATTATCCTTTCTTAAATTAGTTTGAAACTACAAATTACATGATTTTTGGTTGTTTTCATTAATTGATTAATCTGCTTGCAGTTTCTATGGAAATTAATAGGTCAATTTGATTAATTAAATTTGAATTTAAATAGAAAAATTGACATATTAATATGGATGAATCTAGGCCGAATAAAAACCCTTATATAATAACAATATTGAGTTTGTGGGATAACTCGGTAGTGTTTTCACATTATATTATTACAATCAAAAGGACCAAAACCGAAAAAGGCGTAGTAGTGTGGTATGTGTTTTTCGAATGTAAGAGATTTACAAATTAAATTTAATTGAAAAGTAAATAAGCCATCTATTAAACCAATTTTTCCTAATGGGACCTTTTATATCTTAAATGCCAAACTCTTTTTTCTTCATCTAAACATGACATGATTTCTAAAAGGGTCAAGAGTATGAGTTACTTGACAGAATACGACAAATTCTAAATAATATTATCGATTTACGATATTTTTGAATTTATTTACTAAACTAAGATATTTTTCATCCCGTTTTTGTTAAAAAATTGAATCAATAACTCTAATCTTATTCTTTGGTCAGATAAGGCAATAATCAATGTTTCAGTCATACGGAAAAGAAGGGTGTTAAGTCCAATAAATTCACTTTTAAAAGCAGAGTTATTGACCTTACTTTTTAAAAAGTATTATAATTTAATAAATAAATTTAAAAATATCATAGATCGATAATATTATTTGAAAGTTGACGTAGATTAATAAATAATTCTCCAAATTATCCCAACTCCTAATAAGACAGTTGTAAGAAGTTATGTTTACACGAGCATGTGCGGAAGCTTATGCTCCGTTTGATATAATAAAAATATGGAAGGGTGGAAAGTTGAAGGGATAAATAAAATATCATGTTTTGTAAAGAATAAAAATAAGAAGGATGAAAAAGTGGAGGGATTAATTTTCCTTCAAACTCACCTAAATCAATCCCTCAAAAATCGGAAAGAAAATAGATGGAAAGTTAATTATTTGTGTTGAGATGTATCTTATTTGTCTACTAGGATAAAATTCAAACACAATCTTGTTTTATTATATATATATATCTTTTTATATATACATATATTATTTATACATTAATTTCATATAAAAATACAATAATAAAATATGTATATATATATATATATATATATATATATATATAAAAAAATTTAAAATTAAAATATATATATTTTTTCTATTTTAACTAGGGGTGAAAATTTTTGACATAATTCGAATTCGACCCGAATTTTATAACACGGACTTGATTAACTTTAACATAAAAATACACAAGTCAACTCGTAACCTGACATGTCATTATTAGTTAAATGAGTTGAGTTAGGTATGACTAATGTTCAAGACAAACACGAATCTGACACGACACGACTCAATCGTCATCCCCAATCTTAGCCCGCACAAAAAAGAAAAATATTTGTCATTTTTATTTTTTATCTATCCAACCAAACACAAAAAAAAAAAGAAAACGTATCATTCCTACTTTCCTTTTTTGAAGGATAGAAAATATATTCCTCATATTTTCATCATCTCTACTTTCTATCTTTTCTACCGAAGGGAGCATTAGGCTCCGGCCATCAGACAGAGATTGGAGTGTCTTTGACAGAGCCCAACTAGGATTGCCTGAGCAGTTTAAAGAGAAATAAACCCACCAGGATCAAGACAATGGTCGTTTCGGTGGTACAGTATTGCCGAGCACAAAAGTGTGTTGAACAAAATTCTATCCCGACCAAAGTATTGAACTAGCAGTTAATCAAGTAAAGGTTAATTTGATTACAAGTAGTTTGTCAAAAGTGGGAGTAAGGATAAGCATGACTTATTTGTACAAAATAGATAGATAATCTTTGGGATAGCTTATCGCGAGAAAGACCAAAAAGAGTTGAGATATATGTTTGGTTTATTACATTGCCCCCTCTGAAGTCTTTGAAATTTTGCATAATGATCTTAATCCATATTCTTTTCTGTAAGTTAGTGGTACATTGACCCCTAATTTACAGAAATAAATACTTTATTTTTAGGCTAAATAATAAAACAAATGTAAAACATCATATCTCATATATTAACCAAAGATAACACATTTATTATTTAATATCATTTCTCTTATTCTATAAAAGCAATTGTATAGTTGTCCATCATTCTTTGGTTTTTTTTTTTTTTTATAGATTGTGGCACGTAAGTTAGTATCACACAAATTAACGCAACTAGTAAAATGTACTAACTCGAAAGATTAATTTTTCAATCACATTAAAAGAAAACTATTGAGAATTTTATGTCATGAAACTAAACAATAGTAGACGATTCTTGAAATTTTAATACAATGTTATTGTGTTCTACTTGTATACCCAATTTAGTCCTTTTTAATTGATATCCAAATTTTTTTTTATCTCAATTAATTATTTTTTTTCACTCATATTCTTACTCCCTCTCGGATAGAATTCTGGCTCCGCCCCTAAAAGAATGAACTCTTTTCTTTGTGATTTACTAGCATAATTTCAAGCCCTCGCTGGATTAAGCACTAATTTTTTTTGGTAAGTATAGTATTTTCCTCTTGTAAAAGTTGATCTAACATTTTTCAATGAGTCAGGGTAGTTTTTTTATTTTTTTTTTAAACATGATGCGTCAGGGTAATTTAAGTGGTATCTCGAAGTGTCAAGTTTAAATCTTGCAATAAACACCCAGTTATCTCAATTTGTATAGTTTATAAGTAATTGTATGCAGCCACGAGTAAAAAAAACAGGTGGATGGGACAGCTCTTGCTCATCAAAATCAAAATTGTTTCTATAATGCTTGTAGTTTGGGTCCATCTACAGAATTCTCCAGTTGCTAACTTAATCAACAAAACTAATTAATACTACGAGCTGACCAAATGTTTCGTCTTATCAGTGTCCACTTAGATACAAACTTTAGTGCATCACAAGTCAGAGAGAATTGACTAGTCCAGGGTCTTGAGGCTGAGCAAGCTTCTGCTTTCCATTCACTTTTCTTTTTATCAAAGCCAGAGTGTGGAGTACTTGACATCATGCAAAAACTTTGCATTCCAACGGAGGGAAAGAACTAGTTAAAGAGGTACACAACATGGACCATTAGTTGGGCTGAAATTTCAGGTTAGAGGGACAGCGAGAAAGGGTTATTTTGGAGACAACAACACATATAAGAATATGACAAAATTAAAGTGCTGGAGTATTTCTTTTGATCGGTCATGTCATACATGCCCCAGGTGGACTATTATATATACTAGTAGTCTTGCATGTGGTTACCCGTGTTTTTAATTTCAAAATAAGATTAGAGGAAAGAGAGATATGAGAGTTATAAGAGAAAAATTACGAGGAACTTTGTAAAGTTATAAGTAGTTATGGATAGTTAAGAAAAGAAAAGAGGAGACCTATTATATATATATCAAATGTGAACACCAAAATCCTTCCCTCACCCCCCCGCCCCCCCTTCCCCCATCCCTTAAATAATAGTATTAGGACTTGTTGACTAGGCAGTAACTAGCCATAGGTCTCATTTGTAGGTTTTTCTGTGACAATTCATGGGCGAGCATTGAGTCACAAATCAGGTATATATTAGAGACAAAATCAAGGTTTAATAAGCAGGAGCAGAATTCAGAATATTAGTAGGAATCCAACCCATTACACTTGGTGTCAAAGCCAATCCAGAGTCTTACACACCATAGGTCACGTGAAAATTAAAGGTGGGGGTCTCACTATTGAGAGCAGTGAATTTGGCAAGGAAGATTGTCACATTCGTTGGCATGTGTTGAATCCCACATTGAACATATGCATAATGATATGGAGTTAGTGAGAGTGTTTGGTAAGCTTAAAAGTGGATAACCAGATTGTGTAGGTTAGGTCAAACCATTTGGCCAGTGCTCACTTGCTCATACTCCATCCACCCAACTTAATTACACTAAAAAATTTCCATTTTGTTTATTTTTTAATGGAGGATGTTGAATTGGTAATTGATTGAATCCATGACCAAAGTGCATTAAAATCACCGTTAAAACTCAAAGGAGGGTTGAATTAATTTTCTCAGACTGAAAATGTCTGATTAGTATTTGTTGCACTTTAAATCTAGTGATTGTCTACAAGTGCATGCTAAACCACGACCAATTTCGTCTTCTATAATGGATGTTTGGACTGGATATGTACAGACATTTGACATCTTTTGGTAATTATCTAGTGAGAGAACGGGGTTTGGTGTCCATATGTAGAATTCGTATAGTACCTTATTTTTCTTCGTGATGTAACCACTCATAATCACTTGAATCATCCAATATCAACTCCCTATCAATTGCAGTCAACTCCCTTTCAATTGCACTCAAACCAAACTGAATAGAATGAAGCTTGCCAGTTAGGAATGAAGAAGCAACGGACGATATTCATGGATAGAGCAACGGGAAGGTAGGTGGTGGGAAGTGAAACCCTATGTTTGTTCAATCGAAAAATGGTCGATCATGCTTTTAGGGTTGAATGCTTAGGGTTTCAGATTCAAGTAGCTTGTTGCTACACGATCAGTCAAGTTAAGCTAAGATAGAAATGCGGCAGTCCTTCTAATCAAGCAAGCGACCAACCAATTCCAACGATTGCAGTGATAGTCATCAAAGGAAGTATTGGCTTGCAAGATCAAGTGGGAAGAGTGAACAATAATAGGTCTCGTAGCTATTAAGCTAACAAACAGCTTGTTTCAACCCCATTTCTACTCAACATCGATCCTCTTACATACTTCCTCAAACGGCGGAACACTCAATGTTGTTCATGTAGTTCTTGTCCTCAATCCCACAATTTGTGAACTATCTTATTAAAACCGAACCGGACCGGCTAGTTCGATCGGTTGAACCGGTACCTAAAACGGTCCGGTCCTCTAGTTAGACCGCATAAGGAAGCAAACCGTTTGGGAACTGTTGCATTGGCCGGTTTTAGATCAAACCCGTGAATCGGACAGATTGGAAAACCAACCGGTAGGAATTTCAAGCGTATATTAAAAAAAAAAACCTTTTTTTGGGTCATTTGCCCTAAATCCATTGCAGATCTCGTACCCTTTTCACAGTTAGGCGACCAATGACCAGCCACCACTCACTCTCAGCGATAAACCACCAACGATCAGCAATCAGCGATCAACCACCACTCAGGCGATCAACCACCAGTCACCAACTAGTTTCTCTTTTCCAAGCACTCTGTCTAGTTCTTCTATGGCTTTTTTGAATAGTCTGGGGCTGATTTATCATCTCTGTAGGTGCCCATTCGACGGCATTTGATGGATTGTCCACTGTTGCTATCATTAGTTCCTGTGAAGTACACCAACTAGTTAGAGAAAATTCAGAGTGAGTTAGCATTTAGTTTTTTAATTTTTACATGAGGTAGCTATAACTTTGGTTCCTTTGCATGTGCTGTCTATGGATCTTTTCAAAATTCTTTCAGAAAAATTAAAAGTGATTATAGCAGTTTTTTTGTGACCAACTTGGTGAATTGTGAATCAATATCTGTGTAGAAATGGCTTTTATTTCCAAATACTTGTGAAATTTTGTGAATTGTTAGTTCAGATTGTGGGATTGGGAATTGATAATACTTTATTTCATTCAAAATATTGAGTATTATTATGTTTTATAATTATTATATATAATTTTTTATTATATAACTGATTGAACTAATTGACTCAACGGTTGAACAAATGAACTATTGATCCAGTCCCTTTGCCTGATCCAGTCCCTTTGCCAGTTCGATGACCGGTCCGGTTCTGATAACATTGCCTAATATCCCTAGTGCAAACCCTATTTTTCTCATCTGCCAATAAATCAAACCAAATTGTCATTATTTCATACAACACAGACTACTGCTGTCAGTGCTGGTTGACATCCACCGATATGAGTGCAGCCAAAAAAAAGAACAGAAGCTATAGTAGCTAAATTACTAGCAGATTATACATCCCCCTATAATATGTCATTATTTCTTACCACCATGGATGACTAAAGTAACTACTGAACCAAGCACCAGCTGCAGGCAGGATCTAAATTCATCTGTTTAACATCCATTTTGTGAAACTTCCAATATGTACCATGCAACAATGTGCTACGGCCGACATCCTACTTGACAAATATATTGCTAATCACATCCTACTAATGCAAGTTTATTTTCTATCCTAGACAAGAAGGACTATATCTCAGAGGACAATGGAATTGTATAAATTAGTATGACACCTACATAATTCAACTTTTAACCATGTAAGGGAAAAACCTTACAAAACTACCGTCACCAACCAAGAGACCGCAAGGCACCAAGCAACTTAATATATGATACACCCAAAACAACAAAAAGAATCGCCTTGGATTTGTTGGAGAACGAAATGATAATACAAACTCAAAAGTTCCCCCATCCATGGTGAAAAATACAAGTAATGACAAATCATCTGAAATACTTCCTCAAAGCGCTTCATACCATTCCTTTTTTATGTTACACATGATAGTACACTAAGCAAGGCCAATATTACAATTTCACAACCCAAAAACAGTTTGAAGAACTACAGCTACAGATACAGTATAAGAATTCTTGGGTTCACGACAGACTTATCCAAAATTGTGACATCTTATGCCTGTAGAAAATTTGCCAATTTATAAAAAAATGAAAAGAAGCAAACTGAATTCCCACATTTTCAATACCTAGAGGGGCTGATTTACAATCAGCAGAAACTGACACAGCAACAGTGATCTCCATCAGCCAATCTCTTGCCGAGTAATCTTCTCTTCGACAAATGGCCTCCGTCATGAAAACCAATACCATTGATGACTAGCTTATTTACTTCTTCCGATTTTTTCTAACTTTTACAATTCTCCGTGAAGACTTGTCACCACCACCAGTGCCCAGTGAGAAGCTCCCTCCAGCACTGAATTCTAGACTACTTGACGCCTGAAACAGAGATGGATTCTGTGGAGCTGCTTGGTGCTGTTGGCCACTAAACTGAAACGGACTTGGCGATGGAGCTGTTGAACCAAACATGAAGCCAGCTGGAGGAGGCGACATTGGTGGTTGACCAAATATGGGAACCGAAGGTGTGGATGCCTGCATAGGGTCCTCGGCCATACTATCTTCCATGTTCATCTGATCCCCATTGCCCATGGAGGCAGTGAACACAGGGGCAGAGTTAACAAACACAGGCTGCGTTTGAGAGACAGATGGTGAAGCCGAGGTCATAGAAGAAGCTGTTGAAAATGAGAAAACAGAAGCTGATGTGGCACCAGTAGAGGATCCAAACACCAACGGTGCATTGTTGCTTGCAGCAACAGAAGTGGAGGTTGCTCCAAAGGAGAAACCAGTTGAAGGAGACGAATTATTCAATGTGGAAGCAAAGCTTGGAGACTTGACTGGCTGCCAACTGGAACCAAATATGCTAGAAGGAGCACCACTGCTGGAGCTAACAGAGTTGGCCCCGGAAGAGGAAGCTGAAGAACTGACACCAAAACTAAACATGCTAGAAGTAGGACCATTGCTGGAGCAAACCGGGTTGGGCTCTGAAGATGAAGCAGAAGAACTGAAACCAAAACCAGCACCTGAACCAAACAGTTTAGCAGCAGGAGTTGACGAACCAAATAAAGAACTGCTAGAAGAAAATGACGTAATTCCAGAAGTCCCAAAGGTTGGAGACAAGGCAGATGAACCAAACTGAACAGGCATGCTCTGTGAAACAGTTGCAACCTCAGATCCAGCAGAAGGCGTCTGTGCACTAATCATAGATACATTGCCAGTAGCAAAAAGAGAACCCTGAGACTGATTATTGGCATTTGATGAAGTGACTGAGGAACTGAATCCAAAAATGCTACTTCCTGTGCTTGCCATTGCAAACGATGTGCCACCAAAAGAAGAACTAGCCAGATTGCCAAAAGTTGTTTCCTTCTTGGCTACATCCTCGATGTCTGCAGTTTCCTTGTTAGAAGTTGTACTGAAAGCTGAAATAGGAGTCGATGGAGAAACAGAGGGGCCAAATTTGAAGACGGGTCCAACTGAAAATGACGGAAGTGCAGTAGATGCAGAAAGACAGCTATCGGAGGCAGCAGTTGAAGCAACAGTGCTGCCAGTAGTAGTCAGAGTGGCAGTACTGGTGGAAGAGGCTAGAAGGTTAGAATTATTGATGAGAACATCATTGATTAAATTACTGGAAGCTAGAACAGGAGCTGTGGAAGAAAATATAGTCGAGCTTGAAGCAAGTGACCCTTCATTTGGATTCAAATTGTTTGCAGGGTTGCCGAAGGAAAAAATGCTGCTTGCTGATGCTGAAACTGATACAGCAGATGAAGTTTCAGATTGTCCAATCATATCTCCAGCCTTCTGAATGTTTTTACGATCACCTTTATCTGACTCCGGCATTTTCAGCAGAGCCTCAGTTGAACCAGAAGCGACATTGGCTAAGCTGTATACACCATTAAGATAGTTAAATCTGAGTATATTTTAAAGTAAAAATAACCAAAGAAAGGGACAAATATTCGAAGTTGGAGATACAAAAATCTAATTGTGTAATTGGCTGAATTCTCTCAACTCCCCTCTACGCATAGGTATTCAAGCAAGTAGAGCAGATTAAAATACTATTCAGAATACCCAAACACCTGACTCAGTGCCAAAATTCTCACACCAAGTTGTCCATCCTGTTGTGCATCAGATATCCACTTCCACAATCAACTTACCATGTACCATATAGACTTGTATACCTATTTTCAGTATTTTTTACTTGAAACGAAAATTACTGGCATTATTCAATCATTGTATGTTCTGACCATTATCTGTACTTCAATGTTTATTTTTGAAGTAATGAGGGAATATTGCAAAGATGGAATAAAAGAAGTACATGGGAGGAAAACGAGTCCTGTATAGCTACATTAAGAAAGACGAGAAGAGAAAGCCTAAACAAGCTAAAAACAAATAAAAATAGAAGATAAACTGGGGAAATATTTTTACCATTTCAGTGTGAACATGTAAGTTCCAGAGGAAATATTTTCCATAATTGCAATTTGTCAACCATCACCTAGTTAAATTTTTTTTTTTGCTAGACGTAATATAGTTAAAATTTGAAAATTCGCTCTTAGTTAACAGTCACCCTCAGAAAGCCAGAAGGGAAAAATACATATGATGGCCTTCAACAAGTTTTCTCTTTTTAGTTTCTAGACAATCATTATCCACTCAAACAATTTTTTGGAATAACTGCTGAAGTTTTCATGCAGTCCTGGGATTTTCCTCTTCTGAAATGCAATAGTTCTAGTGAAAGAGGAGGAGGGAGATAAAAAAAAGGATTAAAATTAGGTGCATGTTAAACTGACCTGTTTGCACTTTCTGGTTTTGAATCTGACCAAGCACTAGATTTTGGGCCTGAATATTCATTAACAGAAGATGAGGAAGCAAATGTAAATGCTGGGGCCTTATCAACACTTTTAGAGCTAAAACTAAACAAGGGAGGACGAGCATTTGCTTCCTTTGCTGGAGCAAATGAGGTTGATTGACTAAGCACAGCTGACTTTTCAGTTGTGCTGGGAGCGTGCGAGGTAAGGAAACTGAAGCCACCAACCACAGACGCATCAGCAGTTTCCAAAGAAGTTCTTTTGCTCAGTAAAGGATCTACGGGTGTCATAACTTCAGGGAAAGATGGAGCTTTGTCCAGTGTTATTGCTTCAGCAGAAAGAGCCTTGTTCTCCACCTCAGTTATCTCCTCTTTCCCTCTCCCTTCAGCCACCAATGTAGATGCAGGACCATTCGAGTGTATGTCATCATCTAGCTCCAAAGAATCCTCCATAGGACAACCATAAAATAACATAAGATAGTAAGCCTGACACAAAGGCAATAAAAAATAATAGCAGACATACAGAGCAAACCATACATTCACTTAGAAAAAGATCAATGTACATTGTATCTCGCTACTCATCAACTATAAAGGAATGACACTCGCAAGATTTTATAGTCGAAGGGAATCAACAACGTGTATGGGGCTAGTTATATAAAGGCCAGCTCTATGGGGTGCATGACGTTACCATCTATTAACCATGTTCTTAAGAAGAAAAATATTATGTATATTAAAGCCACATAAAACTAATTTATCAACCAACCAGATAGCCATATCAACCTCGACGTAGAACAAAGAAACTGAGCTTATGGGGAGGAAGAAATCATTCTCATGTTTTGAAGCATTTGCACCAATGGGAACTGTATTTGGTTAAAGATCGAAGGTAGAAACAGCTGAGAACTTGTGCATGGCGAGGAGGAGACAGTAAGTTGACCGACAGAACTATACATCATACAGATATTGAAGCAGACAATAGAAACTACCTCATGTGCACTCATCTGAAAAGCCCGTTTCTTTTGAGGAGGTTGAGTGACACACTTTGTAATGACAATATCTGCAGTTTTAACGGTGGGTACGTCTTTGACAGAGAAACTGGTATCACCATTCACTGCAGAACTCAATATATCATGAGGAACAGCAAACTTTTTTGGGTCGTTTTCTTCAAGTTTGTCTTGCACGCGAGAGGAAGACTCAGGTGCATCAGGTAAAAGATGGTTTTGCAAATCCCACAATTCATGAATACTTTTGGAACTCTGCATCAACTTTGGTGAATCTACATCCTCCAGGCTTATAAGAGCCTGTCCACGAAGCATGTTTGGTGTCAATTTAGCAGGCGATTTCTCCCTTGCAGCAGCTAGCTTAGATTCTGATGATTTTTCCTTTGGGGTTAACTTTTCAAGATGCTGCAAAATTTTGGTAGCCATCTCACTGGACTTTGAAGGAACAGAGGCATAACTTGTAGTAGGAAAGCTACTATCATTGTTCTCTCCCAAAGTTTTGGAGACTTTATCCTTGTGTGCACCCAGGTAAACTAGAGTCTGCATCGAAGATACAGGATGTTGGACAGGACCAGAACCAACTTCCATTCCACGAGTAGAGAGAGGACCCCCTTGAGATAAAAGATTAGGCTTCAGTCGGGTTCTACGAAGGGAACTAACAGATCCAATATCATCATCGAGTACTGAACTCCTTCGCTTTAGGGCCTGGACAAAAAAAACAACAGTAATCAGAGGAAAGATGGTACAGAAGCAAAATAGAAGGTACGTTCCGAAAAATGAAGCTCCAAAATCTCCTGGAATCTTACCACTTGATTAGACCCCAACTGTCCATCATGCTCCCATGTGTGATGTGATGATGATAACAACAATGGCCCTCCATGATCAGTATTTCGGGATTTAATACCCTGAAGATAACGCAAGATGTAATCAAAATTTAAATCGTGGAGAACATAATGAGGATCCCCAACCCAAAATATGTAATCCAACAAATGAACCTTTTGTGTGGTAGTCAAATGAACCCTGGAATATGGTGTACGGGCCATGTTGTATATTGCAGATCTGCCTCGAGATCTTGGGGTTGTAAAACCATTATCAGGAACACCAACACGAGCAGCAGTCTTCGGTACCAGTGACATGAAGGGTGAATTTGGAGGAAATGAAGTATTATTTGGCAACGTTGCATCGTCCCTCAGCACTTGGCTGCGCAAACCCAACATTGATGGTGATACTTTTGAAGGCCGACTGCCCATGTAAGCTTTTGCAAGCTCAGCAGGTGAAGCAATATCCTCTTCCAGAACCTAAAACAATAATTTATAAATCTCAAAGTGAATGAAAATATACTTATCACTTCTTGAAGACATTTGGAACCACATGAAAATATTCCCGAATATGCAAATCCTAAATAGAAGGAAATGTGAACACATGAGCACATTATCCCAGTGGAAGCCCAAGCGGGCGGCCGAGTAGAAGATTATGTTATCTTACTTTTGAACTGACAACAGGAGTAGAAACGTTCACGTGTCTTCCAAAATCAGATGCTGGCTTTGGAAGATTGACTTCAGCCCTTTTCTCCTCATGCACAGAAGGTAAATCAACAGTTCTTGAACGCAATAGTTCTGTCAACCGATCAATTTCAGATCTGCACAAGAAATATTCCACATCAATAGTGCATAAGTCCAGAGAGCGATAGTTTGGCTCCCTCCAATTCTAAACTCTTTCCAAGTCTCCCAATCCAATCAGACACAATGCATTAGTGGGCGGCCCACTTAAGTATAATGGGCCCCACCTATATTCATAATGGACGATTTTTTAAAAAGAATTGGCAGGAAATTGGGATTAGAGAGGATCTTATCTACATAAAATTGAGACTGCCAATTAAAGGAATTGACCCTAACAGCATCCACGTCTTTATAAAAGGAAATTTCAATTATTTTTTTCTCTATTTTTCAGAGGACATGTGACAAAAAAGTATGTATCTAGGTTGGACTATTAATTACAAAGTCAAAGAATGGATTGGTCTGAATAATATGAAGGGTACATAACATTCAGCCCCCCGAGTTATGTCAAAACAACACCTTGATCCCTTGAAAAACGTGAAATGATAATCATATTACGTCTATGGCAGGACAAAAACATACTTCAAACTTCAAAATGTAGCAACATTTCACACATGAACAAGAGCATGCACATGCACGTGCATGAAGTGACAATGATCGGAGGACAAAAAAAGAAAAAATGCTCTATACATGCATAAAAAACAAAAAGAGAACAAGGTAGTTTATTAGTGAGAGTCTAAAATCTCACTTTATGAGCTATATGCAAATGCAAAACCCCTTAATCCCTTTTGCTGCTGCATATGCCAACAAAAAGCAAACATGCTAGTGCACAATTTTCAACAAGAATGGACAATGATCTGACTTGAGCCAGGGGGAACACACATCTACATAATCAGTGAAGCATTTTGAACCCCCTTTTTCCTGCCTCATACATATTTCTTTCATTCCACATCCAAAGAGAAGTTTGAAAGCTTATACCATATTCAAAGATCCAGGAACAGCATGTCTCCAACCTGAGTTGGCAGCCACACCTATAAGCACGTGTGTGCAATCCAATAATAAGACCAAGGTCATCAACTACTTACACACCAGCTTCTTGTTTCGCATTAATTCCTTTAAACTATGCAACAAATATGAAGCATACAAATTACAGAAAATGGCTGGAAGAACTAGTAGTACCTTAGAGAATGAAGTTCTAGTATTGAAATTTTATCATACCTACATACATCCACAACACAATCCCCACCCCCAAGGGCAGGGAAAAAGAAGGAAAAAGAAGGGGGGATTGTGTAAACCCTACCAACTAAGAAAGTCTTCTTAAAAATAACTTACCTGGTAAAGGTCTTCTGCTTTAACATTTGCTCAAGCTCAGAAATTCCACATCCATCAGAGCTGTTAGTCAGATTTCCAACATCATGAATGGTAGATTCTTGCGCTGAATCACGATTCTAGTCCAAAAGGGGACAGGAAAAAGTAAAAAAGAATTTATATCAGCAACCATAAATACTCAAGCAATCAAGGCGGCAACACTGAGAAAACAATTATGATCAGCATATTTTAAAATGTAAGCAGCAGAGGACACGACTTTCACAATCTAATGACAAGAAAATCACAAAATCAACAAAAAAAAAAAAAATCTACTCACAGAATCAACATTAGTAGCTGCAACATCAGAAACTCTAAGAGCAATTTTATGGTATTATCAACGGGGGAAGCATTAAAAGGCCAACAAGCACATCCATTAGCGTGACAGCGAGCAAGAGTCACAGCGGAAACTTTTTCCCATTTATATCACCAAATTAGTTTGGGCTGAGTCAATAGTAGTATTATTCATCTTGCAACAATTATTACTTACACCTGACATGGACCACAAATTCCAAGAGGTGCATAATGGCAGTTGATTATTATCTGCCTAAAGAGTTTCTACAGTCCAGTTAAATTAGCTGGTTTCAAGGATCTAAGAAACATAGGCATGGATTCAAAAATATCATTGTTTCGGATAAAAACACGGAGATGACAACAGAGTGCGAGATGAAAAGTTTCTGGGGAAAAAAAAGATACACTAAAGTGGTATAAACATGTCTTTCTCCTTATGTATTACGTTATCCATGATAGAAAGTTATAGATAACTTTCGAGTTTACCAAACATACAAACACTGATTGGATGTTGAAATTCAACAGGGAATCAAAAGGCGCAATTGCAATTGTGGTGCCCAGTTCAAATTCCGGGATTGGCAAGTCCTCTTAAATTAACGCACTGGCTTCAAACCTGGTTCGGCCATAGGAAAAACATACCAAAGCAACCTAATGCAATTCTTTATGAGGCAGGTAAGAATTAGAATTCCATGGAGTTTGGAATACATCAGTGGTTCAACCCTAACGGCCCAATAAAAGCACTCCACATTAAACATATGGTCTGGACTCCCTTCAACAATACATTCTATGCATCGCAGATACAATCTAGTGGACTCTCCTCCAATAACAACCACCAGTGGAGCCCAACTTTAACCTTGAATTGCAATTCTAATTTCAAATACAGATTTCCGACCTAAATGCTAAAGCCCATGCAAAGTAAATCAGCAATTATTCCACATGGATGTGGAATCAAGACTAAGTTCTAAAAGGTTTACCATCTTTCTTAAATCATCTAAATTAAAAAGGTAAGAAACCTTAGATAAGTCCATTACAACAACATAATTCAATTCAATGTTGAAATGTCACATCTTAGAGTTGAAAAATGACTACTCTCTAGGTACATGCTGTTGATATTGTTGAAACACGAATCCCAAGAACCATTTATCAAATACCAAAAATTTTCCTTTAAAAACCTACAAGGCGAAATTAGAGTTTACTTTCGAGATCGCTCTGGATCGATGTCGTCTCAGCACGAGCACATAACCAAACAACAAACGCAAAAGACAACTCGACAAACCTCGTGGCCTTCTGTCGTACATCCTCCAACATCAGAATTCAGATACAGTGTGGATTGTCAAAACCTCCGAAATTTTGCTTTCCCTTTCAGCCTCTCTAAAAACGTGAGTAATGAATTGATGCTAATTTAGAGAGCCTAGTTGTCGATATATAAGTTACGATAGAAACCCCAAGGAGAAATAAGGACCAGGCTTTCAATGAGCCTAGAATTTCTGTTCAACTCATAACAAACATCCTACAGTCCATTACTAATAAGTCAGTCCACTAAAAACTTATTATTGATCTCCTGAGCCTTATCTCAAAATTATATTCACTCTCCTTATTATTATATACTTAATAATCTCCCCACGTTTAAGATTACGGATGTCCATCAATTAAATAAATTACTAAAAATTATATTTAATTGACTTCTTTTATTCCTTAAAACTTTGCTATTCAACTTATTTGTCATGTCGGATAATTAAATCCACCTACAGGGTTTGACATGGACAAAACTTATGAGCTTCCTCAAAAGGACATCATCAACCCATTTAAAAACTAGGACGTGATTTCCTTTAATAATTAATTTCTACCATGCAAATAACATTGTCTCCCAATTCACCAAATTTATTGACTCAATATGAATCTCACTCTTTAGTGAATTAAAGTGATAAACATTTTATGTATGCAGCAGTTAAATATTTTAGAATTAAGAACATAAACAATTATAATAATCATGAGATATTTATTATCTTATTGAATCAATAAAAGATAATAACTTCAACATAGGTATGTTCCATACACAAAATATACTAGTACAATAATCCGAGACATCCAACAATCAAAACAAACTATGCCAAAATATTACACTACAATCATACTGACCAGTTCCATCTAGGATTATGACCTTATACTCATATTATACAAGGATCCGATAATCTAGTCTTCTATGCATAAGCTGAACTCTACACACCAGATTATCTACAATGTAAAATATAAGACACATATGTTTACCATATATTAAATATAACGCAAACATTTTGCCAGTATAGATTCTCAATAAATGAAAAAATAAATTTTATTAATTAATAAAACAAATTTCACTACAAAAACAAGCTTTTAGTATACTACTCTATCAGATATATCTATTTCACACAATAAAAAAAATCCAAGAAGTGTGACGGCACGCACAAACCAGCTTTTTTGGATACTCTGGGACATCAAAATTGACCCTTTCTCCCATACTACTTGGCCACCAGCAAACTAGTTAATAACCAACAACAACCATGCCCACATAGAGGGAAAAACATGGGTGAACAATAACGTATTATACAATTGAGGGGTTTTCTTCAATTTTTATTTTTTCATTTTTTTCCTAATATTCCAAAACATAATAGCATAAAAATCATGTTATTAGTAGCTCAAAGTTATCAAACACAAAGCATGCCAGTATTCTAGCAGAGGTTTGTGCCACTACAGATATACCTTTGCCTTGCATTAATTTTTTGGAAGGTTATAACTTCTCAAATGCCTATATGCTTCACTATAAAGCTCCAGTCCAAAACAAATCAATGAGTTGCCAAACCAGAAAGGAAAAAAAATAAGAGATCCATTCTGCGTCAAAAGTTACCTTATGGTCTGCTTTCACCTAATACCAGCATACGTGCTTTATTATATATGTTAGTGGGAGCTAAATACACGAATCGGTAATTCACAATAAATCTTTGATTCTACTCACAGGAATGGAAAATCATTCAGACACAAAGGGCCCAAACTTAAAATTTATCCAAGTAGTGAAAAGGAACATTTGAACTTACAATGGGAACTGCCTCGTGATGCCTCTCCCAAGGTTCTTGGTTCACCTCTGGTCACATTAAACTATTTAAATCAATGGCTGAAATCATTTAAAAGAAGTACTACTCATTTAAACATAAATAAAAGGGAAGTAATCCAGAAGCAAAACACTACCTTAATCTCCTACATAATAAGACGTTTTAATGAAAAAAATCCAGCATGTCAACTACTTCTTAGAAGGAAAAGCATATCACGACTTGAAAACTAGAATTAAACAAAATACAAGAATGATTGCAGATTAATATCAATTAGTGTGATTTCAATCACAAACAACAAACCAAATCAAAATTACACGGGTAGACAACAAAATAGCAAAATATTGTAAACTATATGAACTTATCCAAAAAAGAAAACTAAGTTAATTTAAATAAAAATTAAGCTAAGCTGCTGGCAAAAAACAGAGACATGCACCGTGCAACATATTTTACATTTACCAAATCTTAGTCATATTGATTGAGCATATCGACAGACATGAACAAGAATTTGTAAGAATGTGAGCTGCCACAACCCTACTTCACCAACTTACATAGTAACTCTCTAAACACAAAATTGCAAGGTGGAACTAAGAAAAGAGACAACACATAACAGAACAATCCAAACTGTATAAAATAAGTGAGTCAAAATGCAAAACGTCAGAACACTGTAATTAAGCTCTTGAACGAGATCTAGCAGTGTTAGACGACATTTTCTCAGAAAGTTCAAACAAAATCACTTGTATAGTTCATGTGTTTAAGTAAAGTTTTAATTAGATGATCTTCCAGATTCAAGGTAACTACAAAACGCTCATGGCCAAGAACACATATCACCGGGATTCCTACCCATGTGTCATTGAAATAAAGAGCAACATATCACATTCAATTCATGGATCATGAGCTTCTCACTGTGAAAGGTTTGCCTAATCCACTCTTTCCACAACCAATATCCAAGAGCAAAATGTTCCAAATCAGCCTAACTCTCCTACTACATACCCTGCATCTAAGCAGTATGTATTCAACACCTGAAGCACTATCATTGCATGACTTGAAACCAGGAAGAGCCAAAAAAAGAATAATGACAATAAGTCTGTGGGCTATACTATACACAATGCACTAAAAGTTGATTTTTTTTTTTAATTTTTTTTTGGGGGGGAGCAAGAGCGGGAGGGAGAGGGAGAAGAGAGAAGGGGGCTTAAACCCTTAACCTCAATAAGGCAAAACCTTCATAAGTTAAAGATTAAGGCAAAACCTTCATAAGGTAAAGATTAAGGCAAAACCTTCATAAGGTAAAAAGTACCATTGGACCAAAGGCCCATTGGTGCACTAAAAGTTGATTAACCCCTAATTTTTACACCCAATGCCCAAGCCCCAGAAACACGATGGTGAAAAATGTCCACCCAATTTTAATTAAAAAATTAATTTCTTTAACTACATAATTGAAACATTATGCTTGTAAAGGCACATGAAATAAAGCAAAATAACATCTTTGCACAACCACCCAATGAAAACCCCTAATTTTCTCACCAATACCCAAAGCCATCCCATTAAAAATGTTCACCCATTTTTAAATAAGAAACTAATCAAATCTCTTCAATTAACAACCTAATTGTAACATTATGCCAGAAAACTTGCATTAAGTAGAGCAAAACAACATCTTTTGAGCTTCGTACAACCCAATTCCTCAATTCAAAACAGAACCCTAAAAATCCCAATTTCCACTAACAATCCCTAAAATTCAACCTAATCGAAGTAAACTTACTAATTCACATAAACAAAAACATAGACAAAAAAAAACGCAGTGCAATAACATTTAATCACACGGAATAACACAAAAAAACGCAACACACGCTCATATCCAACCAAATTTCCTTCCCATAACACGTACACACATATTCATGCACAGAGAGACAGTTAAAAGGAGAAGGAACAGAGGACCTGGTGGTTGTGGTGGTGGTGGTGGCGGAGGAGGGAGGCGTTTGCAGAGAACGGTGGAGAAGAAGTAGTGCGCTGTGGAGGAGATGAGTTTGGAAGCCGGGTCCACCACGAGCTTCGACAGCCAACCGTCGCTCTTTCTGCCAGGGTTTCTGAGAGCCGTAGGTGGCCGATCGTATGGCGTCGTCTGGGGTCTTCTCAAAGGTCTTTTACGGAATTTCCCACCTGCTCCCCCGGTTTCGTACGAGGAGGCCGCTCCGTCACCCGCCGTCGCCATTGGGAGCTTGTTAAAACTTTTGAAGAGAGAGAAAGAGTAATTAGGGTTTTATTCAAAAGGAGGAAAGAGATAACGAAATTAAAAAAAAAAGTTTGGGAACGTGGGGGGTGTGCCTGTGTATGTGAAAACTGAAAAGGGGTATCTGAAATTTCTAGTTAATTTTAAGGCAAACTATGATAAAAACTGACAGGGAAATGAAGACCGTTAATGGAATCCGGAGCCTCCAAATTTGAAAGGCGGGAGTTCGGTTCGGCCACAGAATCAATTCAAGTCAAAAATTAAGGTCAGAGTACTGTACCTAAAAAAAATTATATGGCAAGAAAATAAGTTCCAACTCATAAATGAGAAATTATAAACGATTAAAGTAATTTATTATTAATTATTAAATATTTTGATCAAGTTTTAAACTGTGTGGATTTTGTCCGTGTTATTTGTGCATGTTCTAATCAAAAAAACTAAATTTTTTCACATTGGTTGCTCCTCACCAATGGTTTGAGTTTAAGTTGCCTACTGCCAGTTCCTCTTTCTAAGAGGAATTGATTTGTGGTTCCCTCTCAGCCAAGTGTGTTGAGCTTTAAACTATATGAATTTTGTGTGTTATTTGTGCATGTTCTGATAAAAAAAATTAAGTTTTCCCACATCGGTTGGTCCTCACCAATGGTTTGAGTTTAAATGGCCTACTGCCAATTCCTCTTTCTAAAAAGAATTAGTTTGTGAGTCCCTCTGTCAAGTGTGTTGAGCTTTAAACCATGTGGATTTTGTGTGCGTTATTTGTGCATATTCTGATAAAAAAAATATATATATATATATATATATATATTTGATTGATCATGAATTATCTTAATCAATAGTAATTGATGGTACTCTAAATCAACTAACCCAATTAAAAAACCACTTGGGGCGTAACCCAGAGGAATCAAATATGAGCCTGTGTGACAGAAAGCGTGCTCAGTGTTAAAGATGAAACAAGACAGAAATATGAGTGGTTCATCTCAACCGAAGGACTAAGGTTATATCTACCGTAAATGAGACTCTTGCTTTTTGGGGACTATATTTCTTGAGGAATAAGGTTGTTCTTACAATAGATTTGGCTAGAAGCCTTTTACAGAGTGTTTCTTAGATTACTGCTGAGTGATCTCTTTTTCATAAATATCTATATAGTGGTATCGTTTTCTATTTATACATTCCATCATTAGGGTTTTGTAGTGGTTCATGGCTGCTTTTGTGGTCCCCTCCTTGTTTGTCCATTTGTTGATCATGTCATCCCTGACGTTTTCTTACGCCCACTACACCTTGAATGGAATACGTGAGTCATCTTCACTATCGATGAATATTTGTTCGTTAAGATTGTCAGGTATTATCCACTTGTCTCATGTCCACATGTCATGGCACGACCATCAGCGAATTGCCCAGTACCGAGCTCCCAATTCTCGAGCGGATATTAGTACCGAGCTTGCTTATGCCGATTTAACATCTATTCGGGGCTGAATTATTCTGGGTTTCCATGAAGCTGGCCCGGGTCCAGTTGATGAGGTGCTTAGGTCGTCTTAGGTGAGCCCGAAAAGGTTTTGGGCCTGGAAAGGAGGCTTAGACTTAAATCTATCATCAGTTACCCTTCAGCCCCATGTCATGAGGATGACCTTCCAAATCTATCTTGGGGTTAGGATCATCTTTTCCATTGGAATGATTACTTTTATGGATGATGGTTTCTTATGATTACAGGCGTTGTCCTAGTGGCATATTTAGTTTTCTCATATTTGCTCTAATGGGAGAGACATGCTAGGAAAGGACATGCATTGCTTAGAGAGGGCTCTTTATGTACGGCCCCTCCTGCACATTTTTTTCCCACGTCTCATCGTGGTAATAAATGCTATAAAAAGGGGCAATCACCTTAGCTTTTTTACTTATGTTTCGAATTTCAGCCATTTGTGCTTATTTCCTTTCCTTTTGGACTCTAAGGTGGCCGTTTTATGTTCCCGGTGGTTCTAAGAGTTCTGAGTTTTCATTCCTCTGCGAATCAACCTTAGTTCCTCATTAGGTACGTCCTCACCTTTTTTTCCGTTTTGGATCCCTTTAACCCCCACCGGTGGGGTCACAGGTTCCATTTCATTATTTTGAGATTTAGCTATCGGAATCACTCTAACAGTTTTGCTCTTTTTTTTCGCGATTGGTAGATTATTTTCTCCTGTTAAGGTTATCCTTGGTCAGATCCTGGTGTTTAGTCCCTTTATTTCTAATGAATTGTGCTTTGCATCTACCTCCTTTGTATTTTGGGTTACAATTTGAGCACCCAATGGGGAGAGTGGTTCTCGCTACACCTTCTAACTTTGTGTTTGGGGATGGGAGCGATGAGAATGTTGAGGAGGTTTCAGCTTCCCATTCCAGTGATCGTGTTGAGGAGGAGGCTTCCTCTCCCTCTAGTAATGAGGAGCTTTCTGCTAACGATAATTTCCTTGCTGAGGTGACCAATTTTCATTAGCTTTAGTGGAAAAGTTCAAGTTTTGTCCCAAGGCATCAAGCCTAGGGGGTCTGGGACCGATTCCCAAGGCTTCGGCTTTACGTCATTCTGTCGAGCCTCCCTTGGCATTGATCCCCTATTTCATTGAGCTATACCAATAAAATAGGATCTAAAGCCACTCCATCTTCTTCTGCCCCTAAAAAGAAAAAGGTTCAACAAGACTTGTCTGATCTTACTTATTATGCCACATCGACAATGATGACTTGAAGGCCCTAAGGAAAGAGTACTTTTTTTCGGCTTCTGTTCTACTCCACTCTCCTAAGGAAAACGAGAGATGTAATTCCCTTATTCCTAGGATAACCTGTTTCTTCACTTCAACATTCTGCGCTAATCCTAGGTTCTCTGTTCATCCCTCCATTTGAGATATCCTTATCTTCTACAATATGTGCCCAACTTGGGTTTTCCCCGAATGATTGGGGTTTATTGATGGGCTTCATTGTTCACTAATGCGAGAGCAGGAACATATCTCCACCTACTATGTGAGTTCACCCACCTTTTTCAGCTTAAATCTTCTCCAGCGTTAGGCTTTTTTTATTTTTGCCAAGCAGGTGAAGGCAAAGAGTTTGATTTCTGGGCTTCCGTCTTCTAATAAAGGGTGGAAGCCAAAGTTTTTCTTCATTTGGGGTGATTCCTGAGAGTTGTCTGGTGTGCTTAGCGATATTTCCCGTATTCCTTGGTTCTGGGGGAATCTTGAGTAACACATGTAAGAGTGATAGTTAAATACTTGCCCACAAATTACAAAATTTTTGTGGTTCTAAGCTTGACTTTTGGTTTGTGTATAAGGTCTTATTCTTCCCTTGACGCTTCTAAGGCTGGGAGGGTGGCTTTAGCTGAAGCCTACAAACTTTTTTTTTCTACTTTGGTGACCAGGGAGAAACTTGTGGAGTACGGGCTCGATCATCCTATGAAGACATTGCCTACCCAGACCACTGAACCATGGCCTATGGAATCTCCGAACTAGATGGCTCTTGACCTCGTTATGGCAACATTTACTGATGAAAGAAAGAGAAAGAGGAGAAAGCTAGTGAAAACTTCCGAGCTCCCTTCTCCAAAAAAGGTGGCGTCGGCGGGCACCACCTTGAAGTAAAAACACAAGGACATGATCTCTCATGAAACCAGCCTTCCTTCTTCCTTATCCCCTAAGCTTTCATCTAAAGATGGACAACTGGTGGAAGGAGGCGAGCTCATTGAGTCACCATCCAAGAGTGAGCCCTAGGCTGAAGGGGTTGACAACTCCAACTCCTCACCTGCTGAACTTCTCTAAGGGAGAAGAGGTCGGGCAGGATCTTCCCAAGGTGAGTGAGGAAGGCAGTGGGTTCCTGTATGATCCTACTGCTGTTGTGGACGCATTGGCTGAGTTGTTCCCACCTCAGATCTCGAGGAGGCTATGAAGGTCAACTTCAGAAGAAAGACCAAGCATGTCATCCAAAACATGGTTGAGGTATTACACTCTTCTACCGCCCCCTCTTTAAAATATTGTCTCTGGATTCTCCCCATTTCTCTTTTACAATAGGCTTTGACATTTATCAAGATGATGGAGTTTTACCAAGGGCATGTTTTGAGTAAATTAGTTGGCTAGTCTTTCGAGCAAGCTCCCCTACGGTCTGAACTTAAGAAGATCAAACTCGTCGAATGATAGCTATGAGATGAATTGGCTATAAAGAAGTGCAAGTTATGTGGCATATTGGACGTTGTTCATGCTGACAAGGAGGGGAGAGCCTTAGCTAAGGGGAATAATATTGTTTTAACTGCTGAGTTGGCAGAGATAAAAAGAGCTTACTCCAATCTGGACCCACTTTTTCAGGATTCCTTCAAAGGAAAAGATGCCGAGTTAAGGGCGAAGGATGAGGAGCTGAAGGTGAAAGTGGTAGAGCTAAAGTCCCAAGATGAGAAGATCATTGGGCTCCTCAAGGCAAACGTTTCTGCTTTTGTGCAAGGGTTCATGAATTTTTAGGATCAGGTTGAGAGGAAATATCCCAACCTTGACTTGGACTCTTTCGTGCTGTCGGCGAAGCTACTGCTGAGCATACCTAAAAGGCAGAGGAACCCGCTGCATAATTTCTATCTTTGAATTGTTGGACATTGTAGTGAACTATATTTTGTTCTTTATATCAAGCTTGTGTATCCAAAAACTTTGTTCCTAGTTTTGAAAGCTCACTGTGTACCATCCTTTTTTCCTTGGACGGATTTTCCATGCTTCTTCGTTTATCTTCTCTGTCTTTTCTGTTCTTCCCTTTTTCGTATTTATTCCTCTTGGCTCTTAACCTTGAAGGGTTATGTGGGGTGACTTCGCTCTCTTGAGTTGTATTCACTTTTGTTCGTTGTAAGGGCGACATCCTGAGCTGGTAGCTATGCTCATAGCTTTGCTCATGGCTGGGTTGCCTTGCATGAGTCTTGAGTTAGGAAATCACAACCGATCTATTCTGGATCACCAAGGTTATTTTAGACCTTTTTCTCCATCTTTTTGTGAATCCCAAGTTTG